GAATTTAGTATTTGGCATTTATAGAGTTTAAAATATTGATATAGCGAAAGTGTAGAGCGCCGACGTTGAGGCAACACTTATTTATTTGATATTATTAAATAAAATACTTGTCACAATTACTTATTCAATACTTTGCTGAAACTTATTAATTTTGAAAAATACAGTAAAAATATTTTTAACATATATTAGGTATATGGCAAATGTATTTATGTTAAGTTTATTATAACTCTATTTTTGCTATATGCCAAAAATATGTTAAAACCATAACAGATTCATATAACAATAACATAATAATCATACATTAAAATATGTTTAATATATAAAAAACAATATAATTGAAATATAGCAAATATATTCTAAAATACGTTCACAATATAAAACAAATATAAATTTAATATTTTTTATTCTATAAAAAGTAATATTTTTATCACCTGTCGTAAATAGGATCAAAATATATTAATATTATAATATATATATATAAAAAATATAGAGGATATATCTTATAAATTATATATCGAAAATTTTCTTTCCAAGAACATGAGAATTAGATTTCTAATATCTAATAAATAGTCCCAAATCGAAATGTTTGAAATTTCCCATCTTTAAATATTTCATCCATCTATATTGCTTTATAATAAAATTCGTTTAAAATATAACTTCGATTAGTTTCATCGTGCTCAGTATTGCTGCATGTATTTGTACAATTATGTACAAAATGAACGTAAGATATATGATCGATAAAGTTAATTGGAAAGATTCTATACCACTGCAACTCTTCTGGATATTATAAAATTAGTATTCTGATACAGTATCGATATATTTCGTTGCTTGAAACCAATCAAATGAAAAAAAAAGCATAATATTGTCCGTTGTTTGCTTGATGCTAAATAATTGAATTGATCTTGGCATATGCAATACTTCATTCTCTTCATTTAGTTCAACAATATCACCAATACGAAGTTTCAATCGTATAGGCTCTTGATTACTTTTAAGAAAGGTGTATGTAATTGAACTATAAAATTCTATTTTCTTGTTCATTATTGCAGCACTAAAATATAAATAATCAGCATACACTCTATAAAGGTCCTGAAAGAATGGATGATTTTCATCTAACTTTATTGACAGGCCTTTGCTTTTAACTTTTTTGGTATCCCATTGGTTGTAAAGTGAAATATCAATGAAGTTATTGTCGTAACATATTTGTGGATATAACATCTATCTATATAAAATTGATTAAATTATGTAATTCAATTAATAAAAGTTGATTTATATAGTAAATTAATAAAAATTTTACTATCATCTTCATTTGCAAATATAAATGGACTTTCTGTAGCATACCAGCCTAATAATATTGCATAAAGCTTTGGATCTGTAGTTAGATTATTTAGTACGTTTGTTTCTATATTAAAGCGAAAGTCTGTCTAACGATCAACAAAATGTCATAGTGCCTATACTGTATTATATTGCTTGGTAAGATCAAACTCGATCACTTTACAATTCATATGTGAAACTATTTCTTTAAATATTCGATAAACTATTTCTTTTACACCAACGGCAGTATTTATAAGTATAGCAAATTACAAGCATATTATAAAAGGTATACATTTATATGCAAATTAGGAAGATTTGTAAAGTTATCTAAAAATAGCTATTGAATAAAAAATAAAATTTTAAAAAAATAATAATAATAAAATATTAATAAATGTAGATAAAACCTTCAGTTTTATTTACTAACTTATATAAGTATATTATGCTCTTTTTTGAGATATTTTTGTAATTCTTGGTAAATACTTTCTATTATAGTAATTGAACATGCAAGTTTTAGTACTTTAGCTTTAATTATTCAACACATACATAGTATTAATACTGCTGAATTTTGTCAGATATGATACGAAAATCCTGAAACTCAAAATCCTAAAATCCAAAATCCCAATAGGTTTAAAATCCCAACAGGTCAAAATCCCAACAGGTATGAAATCTTGAAAAATTGGCCTGCATTAAACTTTAATACTGCCTGGAATTAAGTTTCGATATTTTTTTGAATTCTGAGCCCAGACCCTACCTTAGCCTTTTTTTTTTATCAATTTATATATTTCGTATATAATTGTACTAATAAAAATAACAAATATATTGTATATATATTAATAAACTTTTATCAGATTATATTATCTTAAAAAAAATTAATAAAAAGTTTGTTGCTTATTACAAAATACTATTTAGCAATTAAAGAAGTTTGCGTAATAAATTTCCTTTAAACTACTCTGCTATATATACTATTCTTCTATTCCACTAATTTATATTTGTACATCTAATTAATTTAAATTTAATATATACAATAAAAATATATTTTGGGATTTTGACCTATCGGGATTTTGAGTTTCAGGATTTTGACCTGTCAAGATTTTGTACTTGTCAGAATTTTGAATTTGTCAGGATTTGGAATTTGGGATTTTGAGTTTTGGGATTTTGGCCTGTTGAGATTTTGAGTTTTAGGATTTTGAACAGCATCCACATGTTTAGCATCCATATTTTATATCTTTCATATCTGCTAAGTCATTGTCTTGTATTTAGTCAGCAGTGATGCAACTAATACCACCTATAACAAATGCATTACCATTCAAAGTTCTCATAATAAGACTTTTTTCTAAGCTTTTTATATCTTGAAGGACTGGTTTAATAAAATCATCGAAACTTACTTCAAAAGGAAAAGAGCTTATTAAAAAATGATTTTAATCTGTTTTCATAAAGTTAACAGCATATTTTCAAACTGTAAATATACTCCGCCTAAAGAATGATATACATTTCTATAAGTACTGAAATCATCGAAATAAATGTCTATAAAAACTTTAAAATGAAAAAATTGTTTTATAATCGTGTGAATGTAATGTATTCACAAGGTAATTGATGTTTCAATTTTATATCACAGAATTTCTACTTGATATTAAATCGATATACAATTTTTTTGATATAAAATTCATATTCTTCAGATTCTGACATATCAAATAACCAAACAATAACATATCATTCTACACTTGTCAGATTAACCAAATTCATTTCATCTTCAACTAGCCATAACTCATTGCCATTTTCATGAGTATATTAGTTATCAGTTGAACGGCAGTTAGAAAGGTTTTTATGCAAAAGAACTTAATCAATTTTTAGTTTAAATAAATTATTATTAGTTTCGTCAACTACTATACTTCGTACATAGCATATAAATGTTAAAGATTATTTACAATATTTTAAAAAATTGCCTGTTTTATCTACTAAATAAAAATATTTAGTTATTAATTTTTCAAACATAAATGTTACAAAACATTTGTTACTAACCTTCATTGTTGATTTCTATTAAATGCTCTCCAAATATTGATCAATCTTGCCAGAGTTCACAATGCCAAAATTCTTGTCTTTTATCTGAAACCACTCTAGGTCTAAAATATATTTTTGATATGAATATTGAATTATTTAAAATATGTTTCAGATAAGTTATCAGAGAAATAATAAATGCTGTTTTAGTAGATACATATGTAGATAGTGTTTGTTGCATATAAAGAGGTACTTTATATTTGCGTACTTTGACTAATGATAATCTATCTCACCATTTACAAATCTGATGAATATTTGTAGTAATATCTTCTTTTCGATACTTAGGATAAGTGAAAATTTTAGAATGATCTTTATATGCAGAGCTTGCTACATAAATAAGTAATTATATTAGTATGTTAATAATTTTAAACATTTATTTAAAAATAATACTTACATATCATATGTTTAGTAATCCGGATAAAGAGCATTGCTAATATAAAATTAGGAAAGTATAGACTATATTTTCTATAGAAATCCTTAAAGTCAGAAGACTCTTTATTAATAGATTATGATCCTCAGAAATTTCTTCATCTTCAATATTAAGTAACAGTCTATTTAAGAGTTAATAATCTCATATTTGTTTACTAAAACTCTTAAAATTATAAAATGTATATTATTAGTCTTAAAAGGATTTCTGAAATTTTTCATAATATCTGTTATAAGTCATAATCTAAAACATATTAATTACCTTATTTATCAACATTTCTGGTAAGATAAGACTGTTAGAGCTTTCAGTTTTTTGTTCTTCTTTAATATTATCAATATATTTTAAAATATTATTATTTAAGACGCTTTCTGACAAAATAACAATTTCTGTATTATCAATATATTCTGAAATATTGTCATACGAGATATTTTCTATTGAAGCAACACTTTCTGTATTATCAATATTTTCTAAAATATTATCATATGAGATGCTTTCTATCAAAGCAACACTTTCTGTATTTGTATTTTTAATATGTTCTGAAGAATTATCAGAGAATATAGAAGATTCATTATCTACTTCATCTCGTGTCTTTTTGGCTGATTTAATATATAACTTCAGAATCAATGCATAATATGTACAAGTGGTTCTTCTTGAGCGTTTCATTATTTATTTATTTTTTTTTTTGATAGCAAAATATTCAATTTAAAATGAAAAATTGAAATAATAAAATAAGTTATAAAACATATGCTTTATAGGATAATAGATAAACTTTAAATAAATTATAAATCATATGCTTTTAGTAATTTGCAATTTATTGGAATTTATAAATGTATTGTTTTCTAAATTAGAAGATATTAACTAATTTAGGATATAAATACTTTATAATTAATTGTAAAATTAGATTTTTTGATTTTATGATTAATCAATATAACAATATAATATATTATTCAACTTTATGATTAATTGATATATTTAAGACAATTGATTGTTTAAATTTTATCCAGATGATTCTTTAATTAATTTTTTTTCTTTATATTTAATTAATTATTATTTTTAAATATAAATAAACTTTCTTTTCTAATCCTTATTTGAACTTATAAATGGCTAAATGAAAATTAGTAAGTTAAAGAAATTCTCATAATAATATTATTCATTTCTTTTAAAACTCTTGTTTTTTATATTACAGAATTGAAATCTTCTGATGAGTTAATAATCGAAGGTAAGAAAATTGTTTTAAGCTGAAAACTAAAGAAGATAGGATTTTATAGAAATATTATTTTTGGTTAACCAAACAGAAATATGAAAAAAAATCAAAGGTTTTTGTAAAATTCATTTCTTTTAGAAAAAATATATTTTATTAAACTTGCTAATATTTATTTCTACTATAGTATCATATTTTTAATCAATATTATTATACAATGTTATTTATAGATTCTTTAAATGATGAAACTACTTCAGTAAAAAAGGCTCTAGTGAGAAAAATGCAAATATGAAATATAAATTCAAGTACAACTTCTGTGAAAATAACATGAAAAATAAATCAAAAATAAAATAACAATCAGAAAATATCATCAGATTCAAAGATAGCTCTTATGAGAATGATACAAAGAACAAATCCTATAAAAACAGCAAGAAAAGAAAATCAAAAACAAAAAAATAATCAGAAAATATCATCAGATTATTTATTAAGTGATGATGAAACTAAAAGATCAGCTACATATGTTTTATCAGATGATAAAACTATTGATCAAAATCAACAGAATAACTTTTCCATTATATCATTACCTACAGGATCTTTAATAATTTTATATTCTTTTTGAGAAATGTAATCAATACAAGATTCTGAAGAAATATAATAACAAATAACACAAGATCCTGAAGAAGTATTAATTAGAGATATTTTAATTGAAGTTAACTTATACTCAAAGCAACTGACACAATTTTATAATATGTCTAATAAGTTTAAAATTGCTTATTGGTTAGCTTACCATAAAAGAATTTTAGATTTAGCAATAAATATTATAGATGGATTAGCAAACAAGATCAATAAAGAATCTGATATAGTTTTAATATCTACATATACTTTAACATAATAACTTTTCTATTAAAATCTTCAGATATTGATCAGGTAATAAGAATAATGTTAAATTTTCATAAAAATTCAAAAAATAAAAATAAAAATCATACTAATATTTATTTCATATTTAGCATATTAAATTACAATTACAAGAAGAATATAAAGCACTTTTCTTCTGAATAAGAAATAATACAATAAAATTATATGAAGAGCTTATTATCTGAATATATAAAATTGACAAAACTAACTCAAGGTTAGAAACTTTAGTTAAAGATATAGGTGATTAGTTTAATATCTATCACTATAAGTTTTATGTAATCATTATAAAACTCACAAATAAGTTTAAAATAATACACGAAAGATTTGTAATAATAATATGATAAAATATTACAAGTTATTTGATTATTATTATTATTACTACTATTACTATTAATTCTAATTAATTAATAAGATAAAAGAACCATATAATGAGTTAGATAAATTTATAACTGAAGATGTATGAAAATAATTACTTCACATGCATTTAAAGGCAACTGATCAATAGAAATTAAGAAAATATTTAGTAATTATTACAAAACTTGATCTCTTTGTTTAAACAGCTGTTAAAACAGATTTAATTGTAATGAGAAATAAGAATAAAACAAAACTGATCATTAAAAACTGTGACAAAGAAACTATTGACTTAAAAATATTAATTAAACTCAGAATAGTAAAGATATTACTAGTGCAAGAACTCTTAAACTATTAAATCAGAAGAGTAAAGTAATAATTGAATTTGCTGATCAATATGATAATAATTATATAGCAAAATAATTTAATTATATTTGTATTTCTTTTTGCATATTTTAAAAATCTTATTCATATATATATAAAATATTTTGATGATATTTCTGAAAGCTTAATAACATTTTTAACATATTTATCATTAATTATATTATTTCATAAATTATTATTAAGTGTAAATTTATACTAAAATTTTGTAACATATAAAAGATATTACAAATCTATTTTATCCATTTATTAATCATTTTATAATTACATTATAAACATTAAAATATTTTGACTATATATTAAATATATAATTGCTATTTTTTTTAAAATCGATAGGTTTCTGTAAAATAAATAATTTTTAATAAAAATTTACTGCAATTTAAAATTACATAATATATATAATCTGTAATATATAAATTTATATATCATGTGATACAAATATATACACCCTATACTTATTTAGAAACTTCTTTAATTATTAATCTTATTTAATAAAATATTTAATAAGCATTAAGGACAGTGACATTTATTAAGTAATTTTTTAGGGGGTGAAGGGTAGGCAAAATTCTTAAGTTACACATATTAAAACTATTACATAATATAGTTATTTGATATATAATAATCAATCACATGATTATCAATAATTGTGGTTTAACAAATTTATAATACGCGTCATTTAAATAAAATGCATACATTTAGAACTCATTATATTTAAAACACATACATTTAGAATACATAAATTTAGAAAGCATACATTTAGAATTTACGCATTTATATATATAAAAGATATTTATTCATTATCTGAAACATATTCTCTTAAAGATCTTTCATTTAATAGAAAATTTTTTCTCTTCTTATTGTAAAAAAAGAAGCGAAAAATTATTAATAGTCAAAGAATTTTGCTTAATTTGACTTTTAGATTTTTTTTTAGATCGTACATGAGAATGTTTTGTTCACTTGTAATTTGTCAAAAAGGTGAGTATTAAAAGTATTTGTTATATTCAGAGCAGCAAAGATGTGAATAAATTATTATATCAATTGATGGATAGTATGAATCATATTCAGGAAATTTAAATGATCATAATATTAGAGAAGATATACTGGTTTTGTATAATATTCATCCTTTGCTTTTGTGATTAAAGACAAAAAACTATCATTTACTTAAAGGAATTCTATGGCTTCTTTTATATAAGGTGACCTACAGTAGCTTATATTTATGCATTGTTTAATGTTGAGAGAATACTGACACAAATTGTAATGATTTTTAATCTATGACTATGATACTAAATATTCAGTTAAGTTAGTTATTCCTTCCTTTCTTGTTTTTTTCATTTTTCTTATTTTTCAATTCTTTCGCTTTCTCTTTATCTGTATTCTCAAATTGCAGATTTTAAATGGATTTTAGACTCTTTGATATACTTAGCATTTACACTCTTTTCAAAGATCAAATTGCGATTCAAAATGTCACAAAGTGCTTTTGGATTTATCATTTTGTCTTGCGTATTTAAATATACTCTAAAGTGATTTATTAATAGCGTAATACATACTAACTTACCGGATATTATTACCATCTTCCTTTTTATAAGATTGTACTTAGTTTGTTTTAGTGCATGCATTTGTATGCTCAGGTAATCCATGTTAAATTTTTTAAAAGAACTAATAATAAACTTTTATATTTTTAGATGTTTGAGTTTTCATCAATCCTTTATTGACTAATAGTATTCAGATAGGTGAGATTTCTCTATCAATCTTTAATACATTATCATATTGGAAATCTTGGGTGAAACTCTCTAGATCCTCTATATGCGTAAGTGATGATGTACTAAGGAATCACTATTGATATAAATAATTCAAGCTATCCCATTTATAGATCATTATTTTTCATTTAGTTTTATTATAAGATAAACAGATGAAATTAGCTTTTGTTCAAATCCTGCAAGAAAATTATGATTCACTATACTCACAGGTTTATTTACTGATCATCTTACTGCAGGTATACTAAGACTAATCTTCACTTTATCATCTTGAGAAATAACAACATTTGTATCAGCAAATAGTAAAGCAATTTCTTTGCACATTTAACAAATGTAAGGTAATAGTATCCGTTAAGATGATCTTGTGTTTCTGCACATAAATCTCCAGTTACTATAACACATACTGAATAATAATGTGCCTTTGCAGTAATTGAATTAGCTTGTCAAGATATTAGATAATTGTTTAGTATTATTCTCACTATGTAAACTCAAGTGCTTGAAAAGAAATAAAAGATGACCAGGTTTGTTATACTTATTACTTCCTGATTTTGATAAGTATTTTTTCTTTTTTTCTTTACAATTTTAAGCATAACTTATATTCTTTTGTAATTTAGTAATTTTCTCTTTATTCAATTTGATTTCAGCTCAAAGATCCTTTATTTTTATATATATTTTATACTGTAATTATAGATCAGTTGTAATATTATAAATTTGTTCAAATTTGGTAAGTTTTTTCTCAGCTATTGCTATTTCATTTGATACTTTTTTTGAGCTAATGCATTGACAGGAATTTCTGATATAGGATCCACTAAATGAATAATAGAAAAAGCTAGAATAGGATTTTTTTTAGATATAGGATGTTTTGGTCTCAAAATTTATATATAATATAGATCAAATAGTATATCAAAGTAATTTCTAATAATATCATCAATTTCTGTTTCATTCTTAAATTTGATTTTATTTCATTTTTATACAACTTTATGACAAACTTCAACATAGTTAGAAGTATTACTTCCTGTCTTAACCATAATGCTATATACATAAATATTTATGAAGTCCTGATACTTATTTGCTAGTAACTTATATATTAGTTTCTTGTTAAACTTAGAGCTAAAGAAAAGGCTTAATGATTCATTTTACTATAATACAATATTGATGCATTTTTTATGAAAAAGGTTTTGTAGTAAAGGTGTTAAAAAAATAATATGTTATGAAGATCTGAAACTAGATTTTGTGAATGCAAAAAACTTTTTTCCTGCAGCAACGTGATTATTATAAGATACATCTCATATGATTATCAGTGTATAATCAATAAAATACTAACCTAACAAAATTATAAAACACTTTGATTTTTAAAATATGATTTTAGATTTTAAAACATTTATTTAGAATACAATTTTATTTTAAAACATATTTTAAATTTTCTATTAGAAATATTTAAATCATTTAATAATAAAAATTTTAATTTATTTAATTTTTTATTTTTGACTAATGTATGATTCTATAAAAGGCAAATGATTTATATATACATGATCAAAATATCTTACTTGGAAATGGGGTAGATGCTAATAATAAAATTTTATTGGGTAATAAATATCACTACTCTAATAATTCATAAATTATTTAATTTAATAATTAAAATTTAATTTATATATAAAGTTTATTTGAGTAATTACAAACTATATTTTTTATAATATTTATTCTATGTATAGTGTTACTAAATAAATGTTTTATAAAAATCTTTACTTATAATATTATCAATCCATTTATTAATAATCTCTTTAACTTCTAATGTAGTTGACCTTTTCAATGAATCTATATCCCAACTTTTTTTCATCAAATTTATATAAAATTGTGGAACATTTTTAATAATTTTAGGATGTTTACCTTTACAAATATCTAAACCAAGTTGAAGATTATGAGCTTCATTATTAAATGGAGAAATTCCTGATATAAATTCCCACATAATCATAGAAAAACTATATATATCACTAGCTAAAGTATAAGGTTTACCTCTTAAAACTTCAGGAGCTACAAATGGTAAAACACCATAAATTTCATTTTTTTTAGATGTTTGATAATAATCTA